GGGAAGAATTATAACTATCTCAAGGTAAAAGAGACATTCTCTGGTAAAAAGGTGATTTACCAAGATTTTCGAATAAATATTGATTGGGTTTAATTGAACTTTACGTTAGTTTGGGGCTACAACACATAAGTTTAATAGTATAAGGGCTAACAGTTATTATTTTAAAATTCATTAGAAGAAAAGAAGCTTTGGTGGATCAAATGGGTGATACGCAAATAAAGAAGCCCAACTTTATGATCCAATAAAGCCCGTTTATTGAGAACCCTAACTCCCAAAGAGATATAAATAGTCACTGTCTTCCACATTTTTTTTCTTCGGCGATCTAGGGTTTTAGTTCCCACCAAAGAGGAAAAATGCCGGCTGGTCATGGAGTTCGAGCGAGAACGAGGGATCTGTTCGCGAGGCCTTTCAGGAAGAAGGGTTACATTCCACTCTCGACCTACCTTAGGACCTTCAAGGTCGGCGATTACGTCGATGTTAAGGTGAATGGTGCGATCCACAAGGGTATGCCTCACAAGTTCTACCATGGACGTACTGGTCGTATCTGGAACGTTACCAAGCGTGCCGTCGGTGTCGAAGTCAACAAACAGGTCTGAACATGTCTCATCTCTGATCAACTTTTTATCTGTCGGATTAGGAATTGAGCTTATTGTGGTATTTGGATTGTTGATCTGTTGATTTTTATGATTAAATGAGCAATTGAGTATTGGTTCTTAGAGTGTAAATCTCATCCTTTGATAGAGTTGGGTTCAGGTTCGTAGGTCTTGGGTTCTTTGTGTTAGAACTCTTTCTCTAGTATGCAGCAGCGTTGTTCTTGATCCATTTTCAGATTCGAAAGTTGGCTGCTTAGGTTTTGTTATGGTCGGTTTGTTCCATCAATTTGTGTCAAAATGAATACATCTGATTTCCATTGATTGAATATCATTGAACTGCCTTGTATGTTTGGTTTCATGGCTTTCTTAATGCTACAGTTTGGCTTCAAATCAACCTCAAACTTTCATTTACTCTTATTTCGTAATCTGGACTATCCAATCGACAATACCACAAACTCTTTCTCTATCTTGTGTAACATGACTGACATATGTCTGTTGTTTTTTCAGATTGGTAACAGGATCATAAGGAAAAGAATCCATGTGCGTGTGGAGCATGTGCAGCAGTCAAGGTGCGCAGAGGAGTTCAAGCTGAGGAAGAAGAAGAATGATGAGCTAAAGACTGCAGCCAAAGCCAGAGGTGAGATCATAAGCACCAAGAGACAGCCTAAAGGACCCAAACCAGGATTCATGGTCGAAGGTATGACCTTGGAGACTGTCACCCCCATCCCTTACGACGTCGTCAACGATCTCAAAGGAGGCTACTAGTTCTACCATTTTCCCAGTCTTGTGTTTTGGATTTCTTTTTCGTGTGTGTTTGTAGCGACTGGAAAGCTTTGTCTTCAATTAAGAATATGATTTATATAGCAGGATTTTGCAATCCAGATTTTCTAAGGAAGTTCCATTTTTGTTATTCATGTTTTGTGAAGATTAGTGTTGCATTTGATTGAAAACCTTATCAT